GAGAAAGTTGGGGGGCAACAAATCGGGCATGATGAATATTTCAATACAAAATGCAATGGAGAAAGACAGATGTGATGCTGTGTAATCGACGAGGTCCTTCCCTCAACTTCCTCTCACTTTCAAACCGTATTCACCGTTTGGGCCGGACGTTAAATGTTCTGCACCGTCTTCCGTCGTTTAACGGGCAGAAGAACTCAAACCAGAAAGGATTTCTCCGTCTAGACGATGAAATGTGGCCTCGAGTCAGCAGGTCTTCAGTCGACCGAATGAAGGATCTCTGAAATCGCTGCTTGATTACCCTTCGATTGCCCGAGCTGCGCTCTTACTAATTGCCCAACCCGGGTCGACGCGTAACAGAAACGGGAGTCGGCGGCGATTGCCGAGCAGAAAACGACGCGGTATCGACCGGTCCAGGAACAGCGGTTCATTAATGCGGCCTACGAGAGACTATCTGTCTCTATTACTGCCCGTTGGAGCTGCGTGGCGATGATTTATAGGGAACCCGTGGCGGCGATGGAGGCGCCTAATGGCGCCCTGCGTGGGAGCGGCGGCGCTGATAAAAGCTCTGAATCCTGCGCTGGAAATGAGGCTCCATTCGTCCAGCAGTTTGTTGCGTGAGAGCCGACGCTGGGAGAAGCTCCACCGTCACCCGGTCGAGACGCTTTGCAGAAGGTCTCGTGTTCGTCCTGCGTTGACGGCGACTGCTTCCTGTCGGCCATCTTGTCTCTTTTAAAGCTCAGCGCTCTTAAAGAGACGAGGCTGTTGGTCATTATTGTAACCCGAGTAATGAACGGAGACACCTCTGTAGACGTGAGGAACCTTCAACATCGCTCCACCGATGGCTCCTTGGGACACATTTGCGTCTAGAACGCGGTGGTTGGCCCGAGGAGACGCTGCGCGATCCCGTCGGTTGATTGGCTCTTGATTGGCTCTCGCAGAACACTCGTCGGACTTTAATTGAATGCAGAAACAAAGTTCTGATTCTGCGTTTGCGTACATGGACCATTCGGTCGGGATCAAGCTGGCGACTTTTCCCAATCAGTTTGCTTGTCTGACAGCGACGCCCCGCGTGCTGATTCCACCTCTGCAGGTTGTGGAAGTGACATCGAAAATGTAAAAAGGCACTTTAGTGGATAAGTAACTAAAACATAATATGCAGAGACGGGAACATGTTTTTTTGACTCTACTCTTTTGGTGAAGTTTCATGTGCGACATTAAAATCAATCGACGGAACAACCGGAATTTAGGAAATGATCGAAAAAGGATTAAAGCTGTTTTTAAATGAAACGTACATCATCATCATCATCGTGACGTTCAAAGCATTCCCGCATTTATTTTATGACAAAAGACTCTAATGCACTTTTCGAGGAGACCACTTTGCCTCAAAGAAAACAAACGAACCACAAAGTGGAGCCAGAAATAAAAAGGAGATCTCGACCAATTTTAGGGGATTTTTCCTTTGAATATTGTGGAGTAAATTGTAAAAGCTGAACACGGGTTGTGATCTACGTATATTCCGGGTGATGAGCCTCCCGTTGTTTAAACAAACTACTTCATAGAGACATGCTTACTCCTGTTACCATGGTAACGGCCTCCCTCTCTCTCTCTCTCTCCCTCTCTCTCTCTCTCTCTCTCTCTCTCTCTCTCTCTCTCTCTCTCTCAGATCTCCGCTCAGTTTCACAAATCAATACACAAGTGCGTCCCTCGTAGGCTGCAGGGAAGCAGCAACACTCTCTCTGCGCCCAGCGGGGGTCCGGGGGGTCCTGGGGAGGACGGGGGGGGGGCAGAGAGGGAGAGACCGGGGGGGCTGCTGATATAGTGCACGAGGTGAAGCGACGACCAGGATTCTTTTTGTCGAAACGTCGGGTCAGCTGTCCCTTCATGTGAGAAAGTATTCCATGGCTTTGTTTGTATTATCTATCGGATAACTCGGCTAATTGGCCTGATTGGCCGCGGCAGCAGAGTATTGATTGAAATCTAATTAATTTAAAATGAATAGCAATATTTTGTGCGGAGGAATGAGAAATGAATATAATCCTCTGTGTGGGTCAATCATCTTAAACCAGACAAAGATGTGCTGTTTTGAGTGAAGTATTGCCACCACACACACACACACACACACACACACACACCCACACACACACACACACACACCATCACTCTGGTTGTGAGTCAGAGGAGCTATTGATTAGCGTCATCCAAGCAAGACCATCGACCAACATGGAGTCGTGTGTAACTTTCTAATGTGTTTGTGTGTCAATGACTTGTTTGTGCTTTCCCGACTGTCCTGCGTGAGGATGTGTGTGTGTTTGTGTGCGTGAGGATGTGTGTGTGTTTGTGTGTGTGCGTGAGTGTTTGTGCGCCTTTGGATGGGAGCTTCGTGTCACTGATTGGAGGCGTAATGTATGGGTTTAATTTCACAGGCATACTAAAACTGTATTTTCAAGGTCAAATATTCACACGACAACAACAACAACAACAACAACGGTAAACACATCCCCATGTGACGGTGATTCAGTGAGTCCTTCCCGCTCTCCTCTTTAATTCCCTTTAAGAAAAGTTTACTTCTTGTACTGTATTTCTCCAGGTCTGACTCGTTATCTCTGCCCAGCACATTGACTCTGCCCCCCCCTCACCCCCCTCCCCCCCTCCTCCCCCCCCTCCCCCGCCTCCACGCCGGACGCCGCGTTCAGACCCTGCCGTCCCGGAACAGGAAAAACACGTTTCATGCCGTCCTTTACCTGCTGAGGTGAATGCCAGCGAGGAGCGGCCGTGTTTCTGGTCCTTTCAATCGATGGTGTCACATTACTGCGCCGCGTTCCTCCTCCGCGTCGCTCAATCCGTCAACCCGCTGAACCTCGTTTCCTCCAACTTCATCGTCGGCGTTCAGCCCGGCAGACGGAAAAACATCACGAGCTCCCGAAAGGAGGCATGAACCTCAGAGAAGCTGCTCCGGTCAAAACAGGGACCGCTGCCTGTAACCGACCTGGAGACGACGCTTAGAAGACGGTTCCAATGCTAAACGGTGTCGCTGCGTCTGTAAGCCGGATACCGAGGAACGCCGCTTTGTGTCCTGTGGGCCGATCCTCGGCCGCGTCTCCGTCTCGCCTCTTCAGTTGTCGTGCGGCGACGCTTCATTTGTCTGCACGTCGGCCGGCGGGTCCGCCGACGTAGAAGCCGTTTCCCTGAAGCCTTTCCCGTGCTGCTTCCAGCCCCTCGGTGGTGGAATGACCTTCCTGTCGCTGCTCGCCACCCACCGGAGTCTCTCACCCTTTGACGACTTTGACTTCACGTCTTCGTCTCCCCTCGATCCCCCAGCCTGCACCTGTCTGGACCCCCACTGGGGGAACGGGGTCCGTAGTCACAATCGTCCTTCATGCTGGGATTTCATATCAAAGTGCTGTTTTCAAAGACGATGTTGGCGGCGGATTGCGTTTGTTTTATGTTGGTGGGTGTCAGAAGACGTTTGTGTCCAACGGGAACCACGAACCTTCGAAATAACCAGGAAGGTTCGTTGCTTTAGAGATAATTTAAGCCCAAGCAGGATGTTTTTTTATTAAAGCTTTTGCAAAGTTCCAACCTGCGACTATGAAATAGGAGCAAAGATGTTTCCATCAGAGTACAATCGGGCTGCAGACGGAAACGGAAAGCGTGTTTTACCTCTAAGATTGTTATTTTCTCCTTAGACCTTTATTGAATAAGGGAAATTGGGATCAGATTGGATCCTCGGCGAGGATTCTTTCCCGGGCGAGCTGCTGGGTCCAACGGGAGAGATGTTCTCTGGGGGAACCGATGAATCTGAAAGTGAAAGGAAGTAAAAACAGCCGTTCAATGTGCTTTTGTCCCAACTGGCGTCCATATGGGGTCCGTTGCAGTTTCAACCCTCTGGGGAATCTCATTACATTTCCCAAATAGAGAAATATTAGACGTCAGTTATTCATTGTTAGAAACAAGGCAAAGGACTTTTTGACCAACTGAGTCCGAGCAGCATTTCTCTGAGGTCGATGAGGGAGGTGGAAACCACCTGCAGGCCTTCGACTTACGTAACCAAGCAGCAATTACATGAAACATCCTCTGCAGAGATGAGACAAATGTCCAAACGAGGTCTCACCTCTTCCACACAACGTCCCAAAAGGCAACGCGTTTACAGGCGTTAACAGAACGAGCAGACGGCAGGCGGGTTTCGTTCATCGTAATCTGTGTGACATTCACCCACCAAGCCGTAACTCTCTGAATGAAACCTGGCGTCATGGACGAGCGTTCTAATGGCGACGTGTCACGCTAACTTCAAATGTCATCGTGATCAAGCGCGTTGGAGCGACGACGGATCCGGGCGGCGCCTGAAGCCGTCGCGCTTTCTGTGTAATCTCCCTCTGACTGCTGATCCCACAGAGACGGAACACAGACGGAACCACAGACGGAACCACAGACGGACGACGCCGCGCGCGACTGCAGCTCCTGGTTGTAATTTAATTAAAACCTGCAGGAAGAGGAATCTGTGTTAAATGTGGAGGCTGGAAGCAGGTAGAAGCGTTAGGGGCCGGCAGCTTTTCGGAATGAGATTTTCACCCCCAGCCACCCACACACCCACAGCCCCCCCCGGGAACCCACCTGGGGGGGTTTTGTTCTTTTTCACTTATTTGTCCCCCCCGAGGCACCCGGTCAGCGCCCCCTGGGGGCGGGCAAAGGGCCCAAACCCAACGAACCACCGAGGCCGGGGGGGGGGGGGGGGGGGGTAATTGCTTCTGCCCGGGCCGAGGCCACGAGGTCAGGTGAGAACTTCCAGGCCCCCCAAAAAAAAACTGCTGCATTTCCTGATGGAATAAAGAACCAGAAGCTCTGCAGCCGGGAGTAATTGCAGAATATTACACTTTAATTACGATGCCTGAGAAAAACAAATTAGCTGAAAAGGCTATTTTAAATCTATTAAGTAAGTAAAATTGCATTTGCATTTAAATTATACTTTAAAAGAGAGAAAGTCAGAGCGGAGAATAAATTCTCCATTTAACACCATCAATGACCACAAGATTAATGTTGAAAATTAATTTGTACTTGTGTTTGTGGTTTTAAATTACCTGCATTGTCCACAGAAATATGTCCCCCAATTCATTGAAATTATTATCCAGGGAAGATAAAAACATGATACGAAGCTCACCTCACTTTCAAAGATGAAATTCATTTTACTGATTCATTTATAGGCTCTACAGGCGCACACACACACACGCGCACACACACACACACACACACACGCACACACACACACACTCTCTCTCTGTCGGATGCTTCTAATGAGGACGAGCGAGGAGACGCGTGTCAGCACAGCGACAGTCGAGCCGAGGACATGGAACCACGACACGGCGGCCGACTCCTTTCTCACCTTCCAGCGCCGCCAAGCGCGACCACGTCGAACACAAATCCTCAGCGCTGATAATTACAACGCCGGCGTTGAGAGACAGAACCGATCTGCTCCGGCGCCGGACCACCCGCAGCCTCTCCGTGGCTCAACGGAGGCAAATCCCGGCGTCCGGGCCGCCCTGCAGGGGAGTGAAGGCCGCTGCGACGCCAGAAGCAGGATGATGTGACGTAAAACGTAAAACATGAAAAAGGCAGATTACTCACGTAAAAAAACTACTATTAATGTAGTAATATAGTTTAAATGTTTCTGCAGCTCACAACCAGAAGAGGGTCCAAACACATCACCCAGAAGGTGCTGAATCCAGAGGTGACCTTTCTAATCCGTCCAAACAAAGGGACCAGTAGTTACTAGTAGTCTATTAATAGTTACTAGTAGTACTGTTCATTCTTTTTCTTTGAGGTGTCTTCTTACATCACTTCAGTGCTTCTCAAAACGGCATTTTCTATTTGCTTTGTTTTTCTTTTCTTCTTTAAAAAATGGGGGATAATGTTCATGTAACTGCTTCATGTCAGAAAGAGATGCTCAGTGGGGGGGGGGGGGGGGGGGATTCTCCAGTGACATCATGGAGCTGCGATGCACTTGAAGCTGCTTTTGAAACCACTGCTGCGGTTGTTCTTTCAGGGATCAGTTTCACTTAAACTCAAAATTCCCCCCGGAATTTCTGAAATCTTTGGAAATGGGTTTTTCTCAGGGACCTTTCTCCCCTTCAATGTCCCCCTGGGCCCCCCGCCGGCTCCACAGGGGGTGCCCCCACCCCCCCCGCGAGTGCATTTAAAACACCAATTAATGGATCTTCCCGGGATGGGAAAATTTGGTCCGGAGGTCAATAGGTCACCCGTTTAACTGAGATAAGTCTTTTGGATCGTGTGAAGGTGAAGGGACCCTTATTTCCTGACGAAGCTGCGGAAAATAAGGAATCTCACAACAAAGTTCACGTGTCAGATGTGTTCGGATCAAAGCATCTCTGAGGGGACGCGAAGCTCCCAGCGGGTCCCGGTCGTGTGTCCGGCCCTCGCTTTGCAAAATTAAGAATTGATCCGTCCGAGACTCGATGCCGCACGTCTTCGTTCCCCCAGAGGGCCGTGCGTCGGGGCCCCCGGTCGCTCACGGCCGAGGACACGGAGCGCCCAGCGGCGTGGAATGTCTCGTAGCTTTCGCCTCTCCCTCGGCCCCCCCCCGTCTTACCTCGTCCCTCCGGCTCCTCGGGCGAGGACGGAGATGAAAGCTGCATTCGGTTTTTACATCGATCGCGCTCGTCTCGGGCAGTTAGGCGGCGTGTTTTCTTCCCCACTTGCTTTAATCCAAAGAGATGTTTGAATTAGGCCGTCGCACCGAGATCTTCGTCGTCCACTTTGAAACCTCCAACCTCGTCTTTCTGGTCCTCAACTGGTCTCAAACGTCTCAGCGTTTGCTGCTCCGCTAAGAATCTGTTCTCCTGTCTCCTCTTCAGATCCCCCGACCGTGTGAATCTCCCCCGACCAGCATGTCGCTGAAGGTCCACACCAGCAACGTGACCAACAAGACGGACCCGAAGTCCATCAACTCGCGGGTCTTCATCGGCAACCTGAACACGGCGGTGGTGAAGAAGTCGGACGTGGAGAGCATCTTCTCGAAGTACGGCCGGGTCCTGGGATGCTCCGTGCACAAGGGCTACGCCTTCATCCAGTACGCCAGCGAGCGGCACGCCATGGGCGCCGTGATCGGGGAGAACGGCCGGCTGCTGGCGGGTCAGACGCTGGGTGAGTCCACGTCCCCTCGTGTCATCGGTCCGGTCGAGGGAAGTCGGTCCACGAGGGCAGCGGGTTAAGAACAAACACGGGACGCGTTGATTTAATCGACCTTATTTTTGTTGCGTGACTTTCGTCCTTCGTAAATTGCCATAAAACAACAACTTTTATCTGACACTCACGTATATTACTGCAATATCATACATGCTGCTGTCCAAGGTTGCATTTTAATTATAGAAGTACTTAGAAAATAGGAAAAGAAAAGTAAGATTGCTAAAGCGGTTGAATTATTTACCCGCGATCCATATAACATGAGATTAATCTACTTGCAGAAGGAAATAACAAGGTTATTTTTGCATTGAAAGTGCAGTGCACATTAAAATGGGTCCGGTTTGCTCAAATAAAAAAAAAAACCTCTCTGTTATGTTTGAGAACATTTTCATCTTGTTAAAACAAAGTATATTTCCTGGGCTCCAAATGGCCTCAACTGAAGGTGTCAGAAGTCAGTTTAAAGTGTAGAAGATACAGAAGATGACAGAAGTCCTCCGCGATGAAAAGACATTCCTGCTTGTTAAAGGAGCCGAGTCGGTCGAGTGATGAATGCCTGAGAAACGACCACTGAGGGCCGTTAGCTCCGTTTCCCTCCCCGGGGTTTACCCACAAAATCCCCCCCCGGCCCCCCGGCCCCCCGGCCTCTGTGATACTACTGAGGGGGAATCAGAGTCGAGTGTTTTCCTCCGTCTGTGTGGCGGAAAAACGTAATGAGATCACCAGGGATTCGGACAATTGGATTAGAAAAGAAAGGAAACGTGATTTGTAGCCTTTGTTATTGTCCCACATATCACACTCACATAGGAATGCATTCAAAAGAAGTGTTTATTTAGCCTTTCCCAGCATGCATTGGATGCGAGGCGGGGGGGAACGCCGCGGCAGCATCAGAGGGAAATCTAACGTTTCCTCCTCCACTGTGAGCGTCTGCATTGTGACGAGGAAACCAGAGAGAAGAAGAAGCCGCTGACACCAGTAAAACACTGCGCGATGTCTGCGCCCCCGTCAGCACGCGGACCCCCACGGTGGACGTTCACGGGTGGGAAGATCAAAGGAAGGAAACCAACGCGGGGGGAAGATAAACGGACGGACGGACGGACGAGGGGGGGAAGCTTCAGCAGGTCCAAGCCTGTTAGCTTCACCGTGAAGGACAAAGTGTGTCCGTGTGTGCGTCTGCACGTGTGTGTTTGTTTGAGGCAGCGATCCAGAACCCGGAAGCCAGGTGTGGAAATGGCAGCAGTCCAGTTGTTTGCAAGGACACACACACACACACACACACGCGCACACACACACACACACACACACACACACGCATCTTCATCCAACCCAAACTGTCATTGACCTCTCCTTCATGACCTATGGGCAAAAGATGCACACACACACACACACACACACACACACACACTCACACACACACTCAGTCCACCTGCTCGTCCAGCTGCCTCTTTTACTCCGTGTCGTTTTCATCAAAGTGGAAAACGCAACCAAACTTTTATCGAGTAGCAGCGGCTCGTGTCTGTCTCCTCGCTCTTTCGTGGTTCAGGGTGGAATGAGTGTAACCTCGTTAGCGTAGCCTCGTTAGCGTAGCCTCGTTAGCGAGGCCTCGTTAGCGTGGCCCCGTTAGCGTAGCCCCGTTAGCGTGGCTTGCGTTACGGATGTAGCACAAGTTGAACCCGCTGTCACGCGTTTGCTTTGTGTACTCGGAGCTTCGGGGTCTTAAACACCTCAAAATAACCTGAAGCGCATTTGCGTCTCAAAAGTGTTCAAAGTAAAAAAAAGAAGAAGGCGATGAAGACGACTCCCCGTAGTCGTGACAGACTTATTTAGAGATGTTTTTTGGAAATAAGTGAAGCGCTCGCTGTTCCAAAGATCCAAATTATCGACCCTTTGCTTCTTCTGTTAATCTTTGTTTGCAATAACTGCTTTGTTGCAAGAAGCACTTCGATGGTCCTGCTGGTTTTATGAAGCCATTATAATATTATATATTGATTATGAACACATTGGCGCGGGAGAGACTGGCAGCTCGACGTGCGAATGCAAGAAGGGAAAGATGGTTTGGTGGCTCAGATTCAATATGATCTCCAAAGCAGAATAAAACCCACACACACTCAGAGGAGCAGAGAGCATCACTTAGCATCCCCTCAGCTGTCACAGCTTCCTCCTACACACACACACACACACACACACACACACACACACACACACACACACACACACACACACACCTTTCACCTTTCAACCATGGAGGCAAACACATACTAAGACACAATATGTGCTTTTCATCAGTCCTACTTTCACCTCATACTTTAAAATATGTTAAAACAGCTTAAATGATGAAATATTAACATTTTTTATCTAATTGGGCGACGGAGTAGAGCGGGAACCCCGAAGGTTTGGCCGGCTGCTCCGTGTCGCACGTCCAAGTGTCCCTGAGCAGGACACCTGTCCCCCTAACTGCCCCCCAGGCGACATGTAAACAGCGAGGGTTCCAAAGGGCCCGTTTGGATAAAAGCTGAATGCGCTGTGATGTAAAGTGACTGTGGGGCATTAAACGTCATCATAGTACCTTTTGTTGACTTCACAACAAGTAACGGATCCGCGTCTCAACCTTAATCCAGTTTCATACCTTCCGTCTGAATGTTCATGCATGTGAAGTTGTCCGGTTTAAATTGGCTCACTGGAAACCGACCTGAAGGACGCGGAACAAGTTGTGAAATGGCTCAAGAGCGCCGTCTTCTGGACACCAACGCGCGGTTCACCGTCCAACAGATCTTCTCTCCGAAAAGGTTTTCTTCTCTCCCATCAATGCTGGACCGGTTTCCTTACTGTCCCAGTACGTCCGTCCCGTGTTGGACTGAGTGTCTGACGACGTGTGAAACGTTAAACTCTTGTGTTCTTCTGCTCTTTTGTCCAGATATCAACATGGCTGGAGAGCCGAGGCCGAGCAGACCCAAAGTCCTGAAGCGCTCAGCCGCGTCTCTCTACAGGTGCACGCCGCCGCGTTTGACGGATCAGTGTGTGTGTGTGTGTGTGTGTGTGTGTGTGTGTGGGCTCGTGCTACAGAAGGTTCTCACTCCGTGCTGTTGTGCTTCGTCCCCCAGTGGCTACGAGCTTGACTGCGACTACTACAGAGACGACTTCTATGACAGGTGAGGGAACGGACACGCGTCTGAACTCGCGGCGTTTGCGGTTCATCTCACAGGCCGTCCGTTTGGGGGCCCGGCACGCCAAGCTGTGACGATGGCGCCAATGAGGCGCTCAGGCGCTTTCTTGCCCTCCGTCTGGGCGGCTTATCTCGGTTTGGGCGACATTCAAAGTGCCAAATGAATGTTATTAAAGAAAGAACAGGAGGCAGACGGAGACCCAACACCTGCGCCGTGGAGCTGCTGGCTGGATGCTCGCATGGAATGTGAACGCTGCTCCATCTTCATTCTGGCTTACACACATTCTTGTGTGCCTGTGTGTGTGTGTGTGTGTGTGTGTGTGTGTGTGTGTGTGTGTGTGTGTGTGTGCATATGTATATACTTATTTGTCAACATGACATACCTGCACGTGCTGTTTTGTGGCTGAAGGCCATTTTTCGACTCTTCTTTGTGCCCGAAAAAAAAAAAAGTAGAAGAAGATAGTCGGCAGAACAATGGCTGAGAGAAAAAAGGAAAATTACACCTTCAGACAACGAGTTCTAAGTGTCGGCTGCCGAGGTGCTGAAGCTTTCCGCCATAACTCAGGCAAAGAATTCACACGTGACAGGGAGAATATCGCAGTGTGTCAGCGCGTTAGACCCGACTGCCTGCAGAAAGTCACTGTGACCATGTGGGGATCGGTGCACGGGGCGGTGAGAGGGAATGTTCTTGCATCTCGGAGATGCATTCCAGCCTGTTTTTTTAATTTTTGTCTTATTTCTGCAGCTTTTAAGGCCCCAAAAGTACTCAAATGTACAAAATCTAATTGTTGAAACCCCCAAAAACTGAATTATTTGCCCTCCAAGAACAGTAAGACCCTGAAATAGAAAGAACCTAAAGCACCGTCGAACCGGACAGATTCCGGGAGACTCAGCAGGGCGGCTCTGAGAGGGATTGCTGACCTGGACAGGAGCTGGATTATCTGCTTCATGGAAACATCTGGCAAAACTCAATCCACCGCATTGACCTCAGCGGCAATGTCAACGTGTGGGAACCATTAACGTCCCGCCAAAACCAGCTGAACGCCGTCATCAAAGCAAACACCTACGAAGGAAAAAGAAGCCATTTGTCTGTCGCTCATGTTCATGCGTTCACGAGAGTTCAGGATGTTCACTGTGTCACCAAAAGAAACAGGCTGAAAGCCGGAGTGAGGATTCATCTGAAATGATCCCAAACATCAAACTAAAACGTGCTTTTCATCCAAAGGGTTTTAGGATAAAACCCTGGGGAAGAAACGGGGGGGTATTCAGCGCCATTCTGTGCAGAAGCTTTTGGAAACTGCTTTTTGTGCCGAGGTTTTGTGTTTCACAAGAGACACAAAAGAAGTCTCCTGTCAAAACGCATCGAGGTTCGTCCTCGTGAAGCAAAGCTTCCTGATCCGCTGAAGAGCGGCGGCCTTTCCTCGTCTCACGCATGAACCCCACATGGCAAAAGGCTCAGCGCGAGAGCTGTGGAGCCTCCGGGCCGACGTCTTTCTCCTCCTGCAGGTCCCCCAACCCGCTGAGGGAGAACGTCGATTTGCGGCTTCTGCACCGGGAGGCTTCCCCCGTCCCCCTTGGAATGCTTCCCGTGCTCGGGCCGTCCACGTGTAATTTGTCACGTACCCGGTCGGGATCAGCAGCAGGCAGTCGGAGAAAGACTTCACACAATTGCAGAGACGTGACCGCGGGTCAGATGTCGTCGGCGGCGGCAGCTGCCTCCGCTTACCTCGCCCCTGCAGAGGCGGGGGAGCGTTTTGAAGTTGAAGCAACGTGCCCAACGCCGACCTCAAAGCGGGACAAGACATATCCCGTCATGCTATTCTGTTAGCACGCTAACCGCAGGACAGCGAGGGGCGGCGTCGCGCGACCGCACCTTCGCTCTTTAACTCATCACGTGTTTTTACTGCCGAAAACCAAAAGCAGAGACGAAGGCCGAGAGAGACGCGGCCCGAAGCGCGCGAACCGCCCGAGCGGAACGGTGCTCCCGTCCGCCGCCTTTCTGCTGCCCCCCGTGTAACCGCGTTCGCCCTCCTCCCAGATGTGTGAGCGTCCCGATCCCGCCGCCCAGTGGTCTCCTGGCCACCGGCTCGCCTGCCCTCTGTACACCCATCCCAGCTAAGCTGCCCCTCCTCCGGTGTTTAGGAAACCCCGCTGAGCTTTGCTGGATGAATATCTGTCTTGACGGAACATGATAACGTGCTGAGCGGCTGATTTACACCACGACTGTGGTCCGACAGTCTCACTCACTGTAGAAGTGCGCTGAATCTACACGAGAAGTCCCAGGTGGTTTATTTATTTCCTTCCTTATTTCTATTTCTTTCCCACTTGTCCTTCTTCATGTCCGCGTGTTTCACTTCTTTCTCAGCGCCAGTCCTGGAATTCTGTGATTTCATTGACAAGGCCACTTTGCTCTTGATCTGTTGCACAAGGGAACAAAGGTCGTCCACTGCTGAGCTCGTATAGACTTAGTGGGAACGACACGGATCCAAGCATGTAAATGAAGTTCCTTGTCTGCTCTGGTTATTTGTTTAGTCTAAATGGTGCTTTGTACTTCTTTACCTCCCTCTCCCCGTCATCCCCGTGGAGACAGATGTTAAACACATTCCCATCTGGACCTGGAGTTATTTAAAAGAAAAAGTTGCTTCTTTTCCCAAATCGTAAAAGCACAGCCTGGCCTGGGACGTGTGTCATAGAGTTTGAAGTAGTCAAGCCAAAGTTTGATCAACCTTGTCAAAATCACTTAGTTAAATAACCGTATTCCTCACAAATCTCCCAAACTATGCTCGACTTTCATGACCCGAGTGGAATTCACAATTTCTTACATGTTTCACTGCTTTTTATTGACTATCACCGAGCGCGCAGCGTAACCGGGGGGCCGACAGCCAAGTGCTAAAACCCGTCCCTCCATCCCGGAGCTTTCCTCTAAGCCGCATCGCATTGGGCAACATCTGCGCTTTCTCGTGTCTCCTCAAGATAAACTAGTCTGACTTCTGTAGAGCGACGTTGCCCAATGCGCCACATCGTTAACATTCATCCTTTCATTGGGTTCGCCGTGGACCAACGCATTGCACATCGCATGTCACCATGCAGTAAGGGTGCACAATAAATCGTTGTTTGCACGCCGAATACCAAAGTTCAACCCGTGGCCCCCGAGTTTCAAACCGTTTCCCAGGAAGTGAACAAGAAGATTTGCCTTTTCTGATATTTCGTGGTGTTGATTCGTTCGACATCGACGACGTTCACCAGAAAAGCTTAAGAAATGTCTGGAAAATTCTCACAATAACGCTCAGCTGTCTTCGTTCGCCGCGCAGAGCAATTCATCATCGTAAAGACCGAATATAAGCTGTCTGCTCCGCACGGTGTTCCATCGGGGAAGCGAGCTCTTACCTCTCGTGTGTTTCGTCCAGATGGAAAATCAGCGTTTTTTTTCCACAAAATGATGTCATCTGCAGGCCAAATTAAACACAGATTGTCTGTTTTCTTACAAACAAGACGGCCATTAAACACCGAGAAGCGGGCGGCGCTCGGTGGGGTTTATCATCGGCATGAAGTAAAACAATTTGGCATCTCGTCTTGAAGAAGTGGCTTCTTTGTTGCTTCCAGAGAGCTCCTGCAGAGAAGTTTAGGTCGGCTAAAACGTAGAAGTGAAGTTTTCACCCGCTGCCTTAAAAAAATGGAGTAAACACGACTTCAAGTAAACATCGCTTAAATCATAAAGTCGCCAACCGGACAAATAGCGAAGCGGAGGAAAACTTGCTTTACTGTGTCGGACTTTCCCTCTCAGAGAAAGTGGTTCTAGACTCCAAACATCTTTAAAACTTATTCTTACTTTTTATCTTGTCCGATGTTGTTGTTTTTTTTCAGACAGAATTAGAAATATAAAGTTTATTGAACAAGAACAACGTTAAACAGCACATTCAGAAAATACTGTGTGTTGGTTTCAAACACACAAAAATACATTCCAATAATTAACGTAATTGTAATTTAAAACCTACATTTAGTTGAATTACAGTTTCGTACTCAGAATAAATATGGTGACGGAGGGTTTTGATGGAAGTACGTTGTTGTTATTGGTGAAAAGTACCAGCTGTTTATCACCGGATGCCTCGTTTCAGCCCTCATTGAAGCTTCCAGCTTCTTTCTCACAGCTTCATTGTTTCGACCGAAACATCGACATCGGTAACATTCCTCAAAGGAGACGACAGACAGAGGGACAATGAAAACGTCATCAACATTTTTTTTTAGCTCTTCTTCAAGTTTTACTGCTGTTTCGGACACGCTGAACTTATCACATCTGGAATGTTTCTGCCTCTGAAAATGTCAAAAGTTCCCACCAGATAAAAGCGTGAGGCGTCGATGACTCTGGACCAGCATCCAACATCAGCGTCCATCGTTCCTGCGTCTGGTGGTTTTCACTATTAGTTTTTTTTACATAAGTAACACTAAACATACGTCTCATGCACTTGGCTGATGCTTCACGTGGTTTACACAGCGGCGTGTCTTCTGTCCACGTATGTCTTTGCCAGCATGCCGGCTTGTTTTTGAGGACCAGCTTTCATTGTCTTCCTCCTTTTGATTTTTCTCTCTCTCCCAACATGTGGTCCACACATTACTTCCGACTCTCCAGGGACATACAGGCGCAGAGTAACAGTTTCCTCCCGGTCGGCACTCAGTGTTTCGTTGTGTCTTCATCCCGAGTCAGATCCTCCTCTGTGAGGCTGCGGGACGACCCAACGGGATCGGCACCGAACGCCGTCTCTTCTCATTGCCATCCATTTCATTCCCTCTGCTCGCCATTCGCCACCGCTCCTCTTTCCACCTGTCCAACCTTGTCCTCTCTGCGTGTCTGTCCCGCCTCTCTGCAGGTTGTTCGAGTACCACGGCCGGGTGTCTCCGGTCCCTCGGGCGCTGCCCGTCAAGCGGCCGCGGGCGGCGCTGCCCCTCGTCCGGCGGGTCAAATCTTTGCCCGTCAGACTGCTGTCGCGTAACGCCTCCATCTTCCCCGCCAGCAACAAGCAGAGACGTACGTCCGCCCGCCACGAAGACACTGCCCAACGCATCCAATTCACACAAATACCCCAAAAAGAGTTGGTCACCTGAAGACACTTTACGAAATGTGAAGTTCAAATGTGAATGACAGGAAAACACTGTAACATTCTAATATATACTATATACATAATATGCACTGATTCAATATTAACACGCAATAATAAATCAGTAAATGTTGCTGAATAACAGCAGCTGCTGAAGCTAAAATAGCAACAGAAGGCTAATTGCTTTGATAAATGGTGAATTACCATAAACGCTGCTTCAGTAAACAGGCAAGTCGCCTCATTTCAGGATGCTGAATGTGAGAACGACACACAGGGAGCACATAAGCACATCAGCCGCATCACATGTTCCGGTGTGAACCTCCTTTTTCTGTCATTCTTATTTCACATTTTCTCTCTCCGTCTCTTCAAGCCTTCGTTTTGCGCTGAGAAGTTCCAGCCGTGACTTTTATTGCACGTTATTGTCATCGCGCGTCGCGTTCGTGACCCGCTGACCCGAGCCGTCGGCTCCGAACTGAAGACACGTGAAACTTTTAGGCCTCAAGTTGCACTTCGACGAGTCTCGCTGGCAAATGTCTGCGTGCCCGCGGGAGGGCGGCGGAGCCTCTGCGGGACGGAGACCACGCGGGCCGAGGCTCTCGTGTGTCCGCGGGCTGCTCTTGTTCTGCGTTGTTTCAAATCTCGGGGAGAATTAATTTCCCCCTCCGAGTGTCTCGTAACATCTGACTCGTATTAAAACGTGAGGAGGAGACGGACTCGGCTCCGGGCCCGACGCGTTGCGCAACCTTTTCTGATGGACAAGTCATTTTTAAAGCGCTCGCCAGCGGACTTAACGAGCACGCCATATCAATTATCCGGGCACATGGGAGCAGGATTCTTTCCGATGGGGTTCGTCCACGCCAGACACCCCTTCTCCCTCTACCCAGAATGTGGGATTCGAACCCTGATGCCACATGTTTGAGGCCTGATCTCATTTATTCTCAAACGTAAAGACTATTTTATAATGTGAGTACAGGTTTGTTTAAATGAAGAGGATGCGTCTCTCTGATTGACACGAATGCCGCCCAATGAAAGGAGATGAGACTCCTGGAAATTTGCAGCGACTTTAATGTCAAGCGCGTTTGAGGCCCTTCGGCCAGAAGCTTCTTGACCCCGAACATTTTACCGACGTTTTTCTTATTTCTGTGTTTCCACACTCTTCAATCGGCTGCTCGACACCTTCTGGAGGGCAATAGTGCCTCCTTGTGTTTGACTGGACCACCTGTGGATCACACGTACGTGGGCTTGTGTTGTGTACGGGTTTGTGGGATTCCTCCACAGCTCGTCTGACTTCCACTCAGACGATTCCGACGGGTAATTTTGATCAACAAAGCAAAGAGAAACTTGGGAGATGAAAGAGATGGAGAGGAGCAAAGAGGGCCGCAGTGGAGATAATGGATGACAGGACGCCGGGGAGGAGAGGAGACGGAACCGAGGACAGATGAAGTGACGAGATGGAGGGTGACAGGACGGGACGGGGAGAGGGAGGAGGAGAGCGGCTCGGCTGGGGGAGGGAGGGGCGTAAAGATGAGAGACACCTGGTAAAGTGAAACAGATGAGGCCTTACGGGGCGAGAGAGGAAGGAGAAGCGGGAGAGAAGGACGCGAGTGCAGATTGAGAAGCAGATGTGCTCCAGCTGTCGGTCCGCTAATGTACTCGTCACTCGTCTGTCTTTCCCTCTTCAGCTTCTCCTCCATCGGCTTCCTTCAGTGCTTCACCAGGGACATCGGTCATCGGTTTCTTTTCTTAAATTGCAGAACAAACAAAGTAGGTTAAAAAACCGGAGCGTCAATGCAGTGATTGGTGAATAAATCCTGTTTCATATGTTTCCAATGTCTCACATACATTGTCATAAATATAAGCTCATTTTGTTCATTATTTTGAGGTAGAACTGAACAGGAACAAGGGGCGATTCCTCCGCCAACCAGCATCCATCACCTCCACCCGGAGATCAGAGTCACGTTGGCAAGACCCTTGAACAAATATTTGTGGCTCCCAGATGATTAACGACGGATCTCTGTTTCTGTCATGTGGAATTTTCCGCTCGCACAAAAAGTCGAATGTATTCGGCACTTAAGACGCAAATGACTGCAAAGTATGAACGGGGGGCGTTGTTCCGCCAACAGGCCCTGCAGCACCAAACGAGCCGAGAGCGGCGTGCAGGCAGCGGGCCGGGCGGCACCGGGCGCTATTATGCGGGAACACGCGGCCCGCAGACGGGCCCCCTTCGGGCTTCCCGGTGGGTTTTTCGGTCGAGACTTTAGACGTTTCTTACGTGCGTTTTAATTCAAACGGCAGCGAATCCCTTCGGCCCTGTTCGTGGAATCCCTCGTGGCGAAAAAGGAAAATTTCACGGCTCGCCGCCGATCCGTCAAGTCACACCGGAGTGTAAGAGGAGCCCTCGCCAGATACAAGATAACGATGTTTGAAAGGTTCTGAGCTTTTACAAGACGACGGAACTCTTGGCGCCCTGCAGATAATCAGCAGGCGCTAACATCTCCCCCCCCTCTCTCCCTCCCCCCCTCCCCCTCTCTCTCTCTCTCTCTCTCTTTGTCTCCCCACCAGCGGTGAAAGGCGCCGAGCTTCAGGCCATCAAGGCCGAGTTGACTCAGATTAAAACCAACATCGAAGCTTTGCTGGGCCGACTGGAGCAGATCACAGAAGACACGCACATCGCCTCCTCAGGTGGGACGCACACACACACACACACACACTCACACACACACACACACACACTGAGAGTGGATCAATGTGGCCGTGACGGTGTTTTTTCTTCGCCGGTCATTAATTCAGGGATTAAAGCTTCGCGGCGCCGCAGAATAAAGAACGTCACAACGTCATTATTACACATTATTCACACAGACGTACACACAAATATTCAGAGGCTAGAAGATTATTTCGAAAGTAGATCATGAGGTTTGTGAAGGAACTTTAGTATTTTGTGGTAGAATTTTGGCAAAGGTGATTTTTTGTAGTAGTATTAGTATATAAAACATGAAATACTGCTCCTGACTCGACTTTAAACTTCATTTCTCTGCTGATAAATAACAATAGAGACATAATTACATTTATATGTCTTATCAAAGGTCATCCAGAGAGTCCTGATGTAGTCCTCATGCATAAAGATGTCTTATGTAACATGTGTCCTTGAATATGTGCTGCTGTACTTTTGATGCGGAGCTTCAACAGTTAATTCCCTGTTAGGTCTCTGGGAGCCTCGTGTGCTCCTCAGCTTCCTGGAGACCAAAATGGAATTAAGGAGGAGGAGAGAACATGAAATATTACTGTGCTCCTTCATCTCTCGCCGTCTTCTGAAGACCAACGCGCCGTGTTTGATGTTTCAATGGAGAAGTCACATCTTCTTTTTCTTTCACACCCACAGTTCAACCTGTGACGAAATACCTGCTCAAGTAAAGTAATCCTGCCAATGGGAAGATGGTGGGAATAAAAGGTCATGTGAAAAGAAAGGCCACGGGATCAATAAAATAGAAATAGAGAGCCGGACGGCTCATGAATTATCTTCTGGGAAAAAGGTCACGCTGTGTTTGGGGAAAATAAACAAAATAATCCTTATTTCTTTATTCATTGATATGTGCTTTCAAATGACAAAGCAGCTGTTACACAGCTGTTATCAAATATAAGAATCTGAATGAATGACACACACACACACACACACACACACACACACACACACACACACTTGGATATTTGACTATGCTGTCGTTTAAGAGTCAACTGTCAATCAACGCGTCTAACCCGTCTCCTCCTGAAGGGAAGCTGGAGGGTTTGTGTTGTACTTCTAACACTTGTGCGTCGGTATCCGTGCGTGTGTGTGTGTGTGTGTGTGTGTTGATGCAGCGCGGAGGAAGGCAGGTGGGCTTCAGAGCGAGGAGCTGTGGGAGGAAGCGGAGGAATCAAGCTCAGAGCTGGAGGACGAGGACGAGGAGCTCCGACAGAACAGTGGAGCTGAAGACGAGGAGGAGGGAGAGGAAGAGCAGGAGGAGGAGGCAGAACACACGCAGGACAACACCTGTGACCACATGACGGTATTTACACGCGTGTGTGTGAGTGAGAGACACGAGACACGTCCTCATTTGACTCCTCTCTTCATCTCCTCTCGTAGAACTCAGATTTTCAAGTTCAAGCAATTAAATTGACAAAATCAAAAGCAGCTTTTAGATTTGACCCTTTGAAAGACAAAGGTCGCTGTTTGTTTGCGAGTGTCTTCTGACTCTGGTTTCCTCGGCAGAACACATCATCAGAGGTGGACCCGTCTCGCCCGTGAGAGGTACGTGTGAGGACGGTCCTTCTTGTTTCAAAGGTCCATTTGTCCAGAGCTCATCTTACTGAACCAGGGCTGCGTAGCTGAAAACAGCAGGCTCGGTTCTGAAGGAACGAGCAGGAGTCTCCTTCAAGCCCCGCGGCCTCCTGCATCTCACTCTACGTACAAATCCTCGACAAACCAGCATCTCCAGAACGTATAGATACGGTCTGGACACGTCGGACACGTCGGTCTGCTTCTAATTTCTCGTCTTCAAAGTAAATATTTTGAAACAGGTTATTTTCCATACGCGGATTATACTCAAAAGGAGCGTGAAGCGTTTCATCGATTCAATGAAATCTCAGTCAGGACGGATCCCGAAGGTTGAAAATAAAAGCTGGAGCCACTTGAAGGGAAATTTGCGATTTATCTGTGTTTAAGTGAACCAGTTATGAAAATAACACAGACAAAACCCAGAGCTTTAACAACCCAACGTCAGCATCTCTGACCCCCGATTCCTTCGCCTACGACGAAGCGGCAGTGTGAAGAATATTTTTGAGGGAAACTTATTTTTTGTGTGTATTATGTTTGGAGGCCGTCCTTTAGTGACCGGCTCGCGTCCTTCGTCGCCTTACAGCGGCACTCAAGAACCGCGATGCAATCGGGACATCCATCGGCGGCGGCGAGGAAGCAGGTGGCTTTGAGCGCGCGGCGTCGTTCGCCCGGCGCTCGGGTCGCCGGAGGTTCCGATAACGCCGTTTCCCTCGATTGGCCACGTGAGGTTTCTGTTTTGTGCTGCGGCCGGGTGGGTTTACCGCACGTTGCCGCGTTGATGGACTGGAGTATTAGTTGGCAAAATGTCCACACCGCCAACAAGCAAAGTGTGTGTCGCAGCGCTGCTGCCTCACACATCTGTCTCTGTCATCTGGATCATTATTAATGCTTCGTCCTCTGTGTTCCAGGTTGTGTTTGCACTGAAGAGGAGGCAGACTGAAGGAGAGAGAGAGACAGAGAGACAGAGAGAGAGAGAGAGAGAGACATCAAACAGCGGGGAGCTGGACACACACACACACACACACACACTACTTAAAAAACCACACAGTGGTGAAGACAGACTTGACAGTTTTCAAGAGCCACAGGAGAATACTAGAACAGCAGTGTGCTGTCTGAGCGCACTATTATCTGATGAGTTACACACAATCACACACACACACATAACACACACCCTCACAGACTGGACATAGAGAACACAAAGACGGACTCAACGCTTTGTCAGAGCCACGGGGAGACAGTAAAACACAGCAGGCCGCTGTCAGAACATCCTAAAGCAACCAGTTGTACACACACACACACACACACACACACGCACACGCACACGCGTGCACACTCGGAGCTGCAGCTCAGAACGCCCCAAACGCTGTGCACCCTTGTGTGTCTGCAGTGTTTAGACGTCGTGGATGTTTATCGGGGATCATCTGAGGCATTGAGGACGACGTTTGGCAGATGGACCCCGATGTGGCGGGCGGTGACATCTGGTTCAGGACTTTGCTCCTCGCTCCATCGTAATTGGTGCGGTGGAGTTTGCTCGAAAGAACAAAACCCTTGTTGACCTTCAGAGGAAGATGTGGACTCTCTCCCTCCTCTCTTCTGACTTCTCTTCCTCCAACCCTCCTGTTTCTTCTCCCTCCACCCTCTCCTCCACCCTTCCCCCTGTCTTTTGCCGGTTGTTCCTGTCTGATTTCTACATGCTGATGTTAAATAGGCGTTGCTGTTATTTCTAATGGCTTGTGTATACTGTGTCATGAAGGTGATGATGCTGACTGGTGCCAGAGGCCTTTCCAACACATGTAAATAATACAAATAAAAGGCTGGAACTTTCGGGATTGCAGACCAGGAACTGAATTATCTGGTGTGCAAAGTGTACAATCTATTTCATAAATTGAACCGCTGTATCTTTTTTTTCTCAATTTTTTGTACTTTCCAGCTCTTGAAAATATCTGACATCTCGTCTCACCTCTTGTTGATCCTCACAGCAGCAGGAATGCATTTTCTACTCAAACGACCGGCGTGAATACCGGTTATTATCAAGACCATATTTAAATTGTTTCTTTTGTAAGGCAGCCGAACACCTCCAGTGTCCTGCAAGAACGTTCGGCCTTTGATTGACGGGTCCGGCTCCCCTCTCCCCTGAAATGCCAGCACCATCTGGGACTTTATGCTCTGACCTGGGTGGGTTTACATTGGAGTTAATCGATAGCAGGATGCAAAGGCGTAGCACATGCAGGGGGGCACAAGTATTCAACAAGCTGGGAGGAATGTCGGTTAGAATTCCAGGTATTTTTTTCCGATTGGCAGATGAATGAAGCGAGCCACGAGAGGCCGAGATGAGCAGTCTAACCACGTCAATGCACGGCCGCTTGTAGCAGCTTCTGCTTCAGCAGAATGCTCGCCCCGCTAAGGATTTCGCTCACTTTCTTACTGCCTCCCTGAAAAAAGTCAGAGCCAACAGCTCAGATTCCTCTAAAGAATAAGTTGCCGTAAAATGAAACCTAAGAATAACAATTAGCTAAATAACATTTAACGGTATTTTGTCGTGGTTTACTTTTGACGTACCTCAAAAAAGCATCAAGCGAGTCCCCTGAAGTCTGTGAAGGGACGAATTAGTGGTGATGGACGGGTCTATTAACCCAGGAGATGTTTGCAATTCTCCAACACATTTTGGTACCATAGTGGATGAAATTAAATGAATAACAAGGACCATAAACTCTGAGGTTCGACCTGAATCCTGATTGAGGGAGAGACAAAGAAGGCCTACTCGCCCCTCGCTCAGGTCACAGCTCATGGCCCTGTTTGCTGAGAGAAGCCTTTCTACTCCAAAGTATGTTCTGCCGAAGGTAATGCACATGACTGATTGGGCTTCCTTGTGCAGACTGATGCATCCGCAGGGTTTAATACCATGACACACATGCTCACAATCATCTGCTCAAAGGGGAAAGTTTCTCGCCTTGAAGGTCATTTTAAGTCTTCCAGTATGTGACATCGAAACTAGTTTGAAGGCCAAAATACAAAATAAACAAGTTTAATGTTAAAGGTTAAAGCCTTCAGTGCACATTCGTGTTCCAGGTTCCAGGTTCAATCCAGAGTGGATTGGCAGCCGAAAGGACACAAGGTTTCCCCAACTGTCAGCTACCGAGGGCGGACGTGGATGGAGATCAGTTATGACGTTGTGGCGTCTGCATCGGGGGACACATGTGGATACGCATTAGCAGCAGAAAGGATTTGATTACCTTCTGGGGAAATGCTGCTGGACCACACATCCATCCATCTTCAAAGCCGCTTATCCTTCATACAGAATCGCAGGGGGCAAATGAGAAGGGGCACGGACGCCCTGGACTCTAAAACACATCTCGTGCGTTTCCAAATCTCAACACCACACGAGAATCAAAACTACAACCACCTCAAAACGCCCTTCATCTGAGCGCTTTTTATGCATGCTATCTTTCAACAATCTACTTGAACCTTTGACCTCTGCACCTTTAAACGCTTAAGGTTTTGGACTGATTCAAGTTTCCAGAAAAATGTAGCTTTCTCTGAGCTTTTTCCGACATTCCTCTGGTGAATTTGAAGATATGCAACACCTGAAATAGAGGCTTTGAGCTGTAACCTTCATACAAACCCTTACATACTTTACCTGTTAGACCTCAGTGTGTAAGAGGTTTGTGCTTTAGAAGATTATTTGCAGCCGTTTGTTGATGCATTGGCTCTCAGAAAGTACTTCAAATGGGAGGCAAAATCTGGACATGTAATCTTGACACCTGTACGCACTTAATGGATTTAAAAATGTACTTAAAACTTGGGGAGCACGTGAATTTGTGACTGATTGGCCTTCATCATTGGCTCGCTTATTAAACCAAAACATCACATCACATGGTTGCGCAATGACTTTGCTGCCTCTGCGCTTGCTTGTTTTCAGATCTTGCAGAGGTCTGTGAGATCTCAAGCCCCTAAAATAACAACTTTTCGTTGTTTATCACTTGCTAATCATCACTGTTCCTGCATCATGACTGAATTGTGTGAAGTGTGCATTGATATGACCGTAAGCACAGACGTGCAATGACTCATCCGGTAATTGGACGTTAGCTCTCAACATTAGCTGGGAAAAATAACTACTGCCAGATACAACAGGATGTTCTGCGAAGGTTGTTCCCGCCAAACAAATCCAACTCTGTGTGAATGCTACGGTTCAAATATTGAGGTTTATTAATGAACGTTTCTTAAAACAGGCATTTGAATCAATTGTATTCACATTATGATTTGTTTGAACAGGCAAAGATATTTAAGGGCAATCAAATCTCTCCTCCCAGGAAATGTAGACATTAAATGGTAGGTTTTTTCCTGCTCCTACTGAAAGTCATACTGATGCAACCTTAACCGCCCTTAACTTTTAACCAGACCCACTGAGTGTGTTCCCTCAGAAAGTCCTTCAAATCGACACAATCTGAGCTTGTAACCTCGACACCTGTATGCACTTAACCACTGATCCTCTCACTGTTTGTTATTCTGACCTACTCTCAGTGAGATTGCTTTTTAAAAATCTTTCCTTTGTATGTTATCTTTAAAAAAAATCGTGAAACTGACCAATGTGTGGATTTTCTACTATATAATATTTTTTTATCTATTATGTTAATGCCTGATTTTATTTCCTTTTACCACTTGCTGCTGGCTTTCTGGTAATAACAAAACATAGCTTTATATGTGCTATGCCAATTCACCAGATAATTAAGACTGTAGAAACAAAACTAACGAGGCCTATGTATGTAACTGATCCTTTGGGTTATTTCCAGTTTGAAAACCAGACCGAAGGTTGGATAAAGACTCCCCATGAGCTGCAAAATATAAAAAAGTGACCTTTAATCCTTAATTTTTGTCGTACGTTCTCGCAGCCAAATCAGGGGAACCAAAAGATTGTCAACACGGTCAAGGTGGATCAAGATGATCCCCAACAGGGTTCATGCCCCTAAATCAGTACACACAAATATCGAGTCAACAATTACCAGGAAGTTCATTTTAAGTGCAACCACAAAAACATGTCAAACAAATGGTTATTTTTTTCCCAGCTGCACGAGTTGGAAGAAATACCTTCTGTGGGGGGGGATCGGAGATCCTGACACTTCGCAAGACGTTAGCAAGAAGGTAGCAAGACGTTAGCAAGAAGGTAGCAAGACGTTAGCAAGAAGGTAGCCAGACGTTAGCAAGACGTTAGCAAGAAGGTAGCCAGACGTTAGCAAGACGTTAGCAAGACATTAGCAAGAAGGTAGCAAGACGTTAGCAAGAAGGTAGCAAGACGTTAGCAAGACGTTAGCAAGAAGGTAGCCAGACGTTAGCAAGACGTTAGCAAGACGTTAGCAAGACATTAGCAAGAAGGTAGCAAGACGTTAGCAAGAAGGTAGCAAGACGTTAGCAAGAAGGTAGCCAGACGTTAGCAAGACGTTAGCAAGACGTTAGCAAGAAGGTAGCAAGACGTTAGCAAGAAGGTAGACAGACGTTAGCAAGACGTTAGCAAGACATTAGCAAGAAGGTAGCAAGACGTTAGCAAGAAGGTAGCAAGACGTTAGCAAGAAGGTAGCCAGACGTTAGCAAGACGTTAGCAAGACATTAGCAAGAAGGTAGCAAGACGTTAGCAAGAAGGTAGCAAGACGTTAGCAAGAAGGTAGCAAGACGTTAGCAAGACGTTAGCAAGAAGGTAGCAAGACGTTAGCAAGACGTTAGCAAGAAGGTAGCCAGACGTTAGCAAGACGTTAGCAAGACATTAGCAAGAAGGTAGCAAGACGTTAGCAAGAAGGTAGCAAGACGTTAGCAAGAAGGTAGCAAGACGTTAGCAAGAAGGTAGCAAGACGTTAGCAAGACGTTAGCAATAAGGTAGCAAGTTAGAATCCGTGAATAAAGAAATCCACAGTACCGTGTTGTAGGCCTGTTGTAGGGAGTGATGGGAATCCGCCCGTAGTGAAAGAGGTGAGCCGAGCAAAACACATAAAAGGTTTTCGACAAAGATGCCTCGGCAAAAAACAGAAAATGACTTTGTGACTGCTGTAAGGGGGTCGAGGTGAGGTCCAGTGATAATAAACCTTGGGCTCCTCTAACTTTGCAGACACATTTCACAGAAATGAAGCTTATCTGTACCATGAGACCCTCGAGTGACTTCTGTCATAACGCTTCCTATGTGGTCTGGCGGTAAGGGTTCCCCCACCTGCAAAATAACACGATAACCCCCGGTTGTCACACCAGATCGTATCTCAATTCCATTCTCTCAAATTATAAGCAGGTTTATTCAATATGTGCGTTTACGCTGGAGAAATATCAATAAAGATTTTAGTTCCAGCCGGCGCCAAGCTCTTGTCTATTTTTGTATTCATTGCAGTAAGATGTGTGGTCTCCCAGCTGAGATTGGTCCCAGCTGCCAAGGTGTTTGTCTCGAGGATTCTGATGGGGGACGCACCTGGTCCAGTTCTCCTATTCGGGGATAAAACTCAACAATGTAATTGTTTCCATGTGAGTCGGATACAATACATAAACAGAGCTCAGAAGTTACTAAAAAATGCCACATAATGCAAGGTGCTACAGCTTGAGGCATACGACATTTCGATTGATAGATGGAGTACCTTACTTGCAGCAACCGCGGATCAATAAGGCAAGGATCAATTCAGTTTATTACGTGTCATAACCATCGTGTGCAGCATTACTTTTTTTTGATTAAGACCTGAGAAGGGAAGCTTTTGCCTCTCGGCAAATCAGTTTGGAGTTTTCGAGGGGCGCTCACTGGCCCTCTGCGCCGTGCACTCGGACGCATCGCCACCGCTGGCTCTCGACATGGATTCCCACACTATCTCTGGATTATTCTACGTTATTTACGGATTTAGACTTCCAAGACCTTCTTTTATTACTGCTCTGGAGGAACAGATGTTCAGAATTCAACAGAGTGACGGTGGTTTTATTATGACTCCATGGAGGATAGTAATCAGGTTGGAGATTTGAAGACTCTGTATTAATCTTTAATACACAAGGTAAAACAGGTTAGACCGGTGGAATTTGTAAGGTTTGAATAGTCAATTTGAATTTGTTGATTGTTGTCGGTGTGCAACTAAACCGCCGTGGTTATTCTTATGATCAGAAAAACCTACCACATGTATAAGTAAATATAGGTGGCACATAAAGATCCCACCTTTAGACTTTCCGGGTTGGTTCCCTTAAAGAAGCGTCTCTGTGCTGCTCATTATCTGAGTTGGGAAACTTAACCAGATGTGCATTTTTCAAACTGATCCTTTTAGCCTCTGCAGGATACAATTAACGTCCTACAAAGCATAAATCTCACATGTTTACTGTGATGTTGCAATGGACTCATTACTGATCCCCAAAGGCCTCTAACCCCCACAACATGCCAATTAGTGGAAGCCACAGTTGTGGTGGGTATTTACCACTAAAAAGACTCAACAATTCCATGGAGTGGCAATTCCATACTTAAAAAACTGTTCTTTGGAGTCTGAATTCCTAATAAAATAGCAATTGAACTTATGGTTGTTTTTAATATTTACAAAAAGGGCAAAGGCACCACGTTGTCTCCTTGATAGCGTGACGCACAGCTGGGCTACGCTACCACGCTATCTGTCTATGAGCCATGTGTGTGGATGCATGTGGAATCGTGCAGGCGTGTGTGTGTGTGTGTGTGTTGGGGGGGAGTAAAAGCGAGAGAGAGGAAAGCACCACAAATCCTGCTGTGTAAATTAACAGTAGCTGTGAGTCGAGTTTGCGGGCCGCGGCACTGGTCTTTTTACTGCTTAGCTTTACACGCAGGAACTAACAAACACAATCAATGAAACATGTGAAACACAGAAACAAACAGCAGGACAATGGATGTAATCCCGATACAGGAAACAGGATGTAGCGGTTTCTTGGAATTCACCACATAGAGTTAAGTTCACGGTACCATAAAAGCCTTAAATAAACAGAATTATCTGCATTTCTCTGCCCAGACAGCAGTCATGTTGCTAGACGGGAGGTTCTACGTCTGGGGGCTACTCTGATTCTTCAGATCGAGGCACCTTCGTCTTCACCAGCGTCAGGACGATCCTGTGTGGCACCACTAGAGTGTAAGTTCCACGTCCCTTATCATCCACAGTCATCTGGCTGTCATGAAGATGCTCGCCTCACCATTGGCAACATGCTCAAAAAGTCACTAGCAACGTCAATTGCTAGATTGGGAAAACATTTGGACCATATTTGGACTTTTCCTCCAAAACCTTTTTCAACCTATTATATCTCGACTTTTTTTCCAAAACATTTTCCAGCTTAACATTTTTTTAATTTCATTTTTTTTAGGCTTTTTTTTAAAATTTTGACTTGTTTCCGAAAGAGCTTTTGGCCTAATATTTTCCAACTTTTTGTTTGGACCTTTTTTTGTATATTTCTTAACTTGTTTTTTAGACATAATATATCTGGATTTTTTTCAGCTTTTTTCGTTTTTTCTATGACATTTTTAGACTCAACATACTTTGACTTTTTCTATTAAAGCATTTTTCGACTTAACATGTTTGGACTTTTTTTCAAAACATGTTTTTACCGTATATATTCTGACTCTTTGGGGCCAGATTTCACTCACAACAGACGAAAGCGGTCACACTTCACCCACATTTCATTATCCCTCATGTTTTATCGGTGAAGGGGATGCGACAGGGCGTTTGTTTATCGTAACGCAGTAATTACTGGAACTCACAGCCTTGAGATCCCAGGAAATGTGTTTGTTTGTTGTGTTCCCAACAGGCACTGATTCAAAACCAAAGGACTGAGCGGAGTTTATTCTCCTCATTGACGTGACGCAGAAAATGAAGATTGATTAAAGAAGCTCAGCGGAAACACTGTTCGCCCCGCGCTCGGCCTTAATGCAGTCGATGTGAATGCGTCGTCACTAATGTCATTCAGCTAATCCTTCGTGTTCTTCCTTTGGACTGACAATTCTGAGGCGGGATTATTTAAATATCTTCTTCCTCTTAGCCATAGAGCTCCATTTCTGTCCCAAAAAAACAATCTTTATTAGGACACACACTACTTCCCTTGGCGACAAGTCCATTCGTTACCTTGATCACACACACATTATTATTTTTAACCGGTATGCGGCTTCTAACTTGCACAACAAACTGTATTTATTGACAATTGAAAGTACTTCCGAAGAAAGTAATTACTTCGTCCTCCTTATTCTTATTTTGAAGAAGCCTTCGTTAGGAACCAAAGAACTTGACTTGAGACCCAGAGACAAGTTGAAGAAGTCTTAGAAAGCTGTGAGACGGAGTAATGAAAAAAACACTCTTGTATAACACAAAGTACACAACTTTATTGTTGAAGGCTTTGTATAATATGTGTTATTGCGTATTTGTAGTATAGTGTATTCTATGTAAAAATAAAGCAATATATAAAATAGTTAGAGCAAATATTCAATAGATGTGTGCTGAAGCTCAGTGTTAGTGTCATTGCAGTATAAGCTGCTCGCTGTGGAAGAGTCCTCGGTAATAAAGTGCTTTCATGCATAGAATGTCCGGCAAAGTTACAGACGCGGGCCGGAAGCGAGTCCCGTCCAGCACTGTCCCCCTTCGCGGGCTCCGAGCCGGGTCCCGCCGCCGCCGCTCGCCGCTCAACAGCGAGGGTTCCCCATTCGACAGAAACAGACCGTTCTGAAGAGGCGACACTGGCAGAAAGCGCAGAAATCACAGCACACGTTGCTCGGGGATTTACAGCTTCCCAGCAGAGGAACGCAGTCAGCGGGCGGAGGAGGCCGCTTCTTCACCCGAAACGAGTTCTGAAGGAGAGCGGAGGACAGAAAATGAGATCGCTCTGATAAGACAATACATAAGACAGTAGTTACGCCGTGGGACAGAGGAGACAGACGTGCAGTTACGTGATCTTTGCTGAGTAGGTTTTTAGAACCTTCCAGTTGCAAAGTCGTGATCAGGACCACGAGAGCCGAACAAAAGGGGTCGAGATCATTCAGTTGTACCAGGAAAACAGTGATTTACTGTTTTTAATCTAATGGTTCTATGAACTGATAAACAAAGTTGTAATCACACGCGTTACCTTTTTTTGTTTCTTAGCTATCTTGTTCTTCTTCACTGACTTTGGCAATTCTGTTGGAGAAAATTAGAAAAAAAATTACACTGAAATTTGAAATTACATCTTTGCAGCAGAAGCAAATCATCACCATACAGGACAAATATATAATATGTATAATATAAATCATTCTTTGGGAACCCCTACATCTGTGTGTGAGCTTTACAGATGTGTTTCTCTGCATTATTCGTCGTTGGAGAAAGTTTTAACTTACTTACGTACTTGTAGTCGTTCTGAAAAGCTGCTGCTTATTTAAACAACAGGCAGCGAGTCTGACTCGCAGCCTCGGACCTTCGTGTCCCAATCATCCGACGAATGAAGCGAACACTCTTACCTACAATCAGGACAGGGGGCGGGCCTTTGTAAAGGTTTTGGGACACGGCGTTGGACACGACGACCCGGTTGGTGGAGAGAGTCTCGTCCGGGATCATGATGGCCGCGGCGAGGAGGTGGTCGGCCGTGACCAGCACCAGGCAGCCGAGCAGCGTCGACGCGCGCATCTTCCTCTGGAGCCAAAGCAACAGCAGCGCTGCGGCAGGTAAACGCTGAGGAAGGTGACACACGCGCGCACACAGAGTCACTTTGTGAAGCTCCGGGAGCTTTTTCAATAGTAACTCAAGAATAAATGAACAATTTGTTGAATTCATTGAGAAAGAAACCATTTTTCTTGGTCACACTGGGCTCTAAACTGGAAACGCACTAGAGAGTGAGTTCTTACGTCATCTGAACACAAGGTTTGGTTACTAAGCAACAGCTTTTGTTCAGAAATGTCTCGTTAGCCTCCCGGTGACGTGCAGTTGAAGCCGTTTGCCATTTGTCTGGACCTTCTGCAGCAGGTCTCTGCATCGGGTCCCTGGAGCTCAGTGTGATAAACACCACACCTGTTGCATTCTTATCGACATGCAAAGAACATCCCTCAACATTTAGTTTGGCCTCGTCTCTGAAGCCGTGTGCCGGATGGACACTAAATGTTTGCACACGCAAGGGAGGAAATCTGCTCCTTCTCCTGCCAAGGAGCAAATTCCCTTCAAAACCAACCTGTGCGCCGCTCAACTCATTTATTTAAAGACTTGTTTCCTCGCAGCAGCGTGATTGAGATTGATGATGAAGATAAGTCAGAAAGCTCTGACGTTATTTCCAGACTTTTCTGGTTTGCACAATCCTAACGTCCAATAACGATGCGTCCAACGCGGCGGCTATGACTCACAGACCATCTGCGCTGCGTCTACGCGAACTTCACACATAAAAATGTTCACACGCACGGATCACGGTTTTCAGACACGTCTCCCTGTCAAGTGTGTTTTTATAGATCCCGGCGCTTCGCTTTGTAAATGAGACCTGATGCTCTCGTCTGTTAAAACACCAGCAAACTGACATTTATTGTGACGCTTGACTTCAGTTGTTAAATCTCATCCCTTGTTTACTCTTTTCCTCACAGCCGGTTGTTGTCGAGAAGGCATTTAATGTATTTTGGTCCGTGGCCTGTTGGCTGCAATCGTTGTTTTTCATTAGTTTTATATAACAAGAGGATTAAATAATGTGAACACCTCCCCTAAAGGGATTGCAAGTCCGTTCAGGCTAATTTGTTATAATCGTTGCTTTGCTAAAAGTCAGACAGTGCTCATCCAACTGCAGTAATACATGTTCCTCATTAGCTCTCTAATCAGTGTTTCCAGTGTGCGTGGAAAGTGTTCCGTCATGACGGTCTGCAACAAACAGTTGAAAATGCAATTTTAGTTTTCTCAAAATGGCTCTTTTATTTTCCCAGTGCTTTTTTCCATTACAAATCTGCAGAATAAACTAGTGTAACTATTGAAAGATTAAAACCATCAAAGTAAGATTCCATCGTATAAATCTGCTTTATTTGTTCTTTTTTAATCAGATATTGCTTGTGTCAATAGCAACACTGGGATCAATTGAGGAATGAAGAGGATGTTCCTTTAAAATAAAGTAATAAAATGTCCAAACCCTCTCAATCATCACTACAAGCGGCCCTGCAGGCCTCTGCACGCGTTCTCTCATTCGATTCCGTCTTCTAGGCGTCGACCTCTACAACCCAAACAGGAAGCCACAAAAATGTCAGACGCTCAAAGAAAAGCAGATATGGCGAAGTGAAACGAGGGCAACGATTTTTTGGCACTTCACCCCGCTGGTCCCAGTAACGGCTGCGGGGGGAGGGGCTTGAGGAGGAAGGGCGGGGCTTGACGCGAGCGGACGTTGTTCCCCGAGGAGCAGCAGAACAAACAGACCTCTTCACACACACCTGGACTCTAAGGGCTCCGAGTTGGAGAAGGAGGGGTTTGAAGGCAGCGTTTAGCGGGTGGAAGCAGGGGGCACAGACGCCGCAGGAACACTTTGCACATGTTGAACGGCACCTTCGTACGGCTCCGCCGTCTGGTTCGACTTTAGAGCGCCAACACGGGACCCGGGTGGCTGTTTCTTCTGGGTATTTGGAAACCACACTTTAGCGCGTTGGTCCATTTCAAAGCGGCGTGATGACGGAGGAAGTTAACAAGTAACAAGAACACATGCAGATGTGAGGGGCCGAATGTGAAATGTACAGTCGCGTTTCTCTGCTGTCCAGATATGAGACGCAGGCTGTAAAACGCCAGAACGGAGTAGAACGCTCTCAGCATCGGATTGATTCTACCACTCAAACGACTGTATTTCGGTAGCAAGTAAATAAGTCTTTAGACATAATGAAATTATTGTACTAATGTTGTAAAAGCTTGAATCCACGAGGACATGACTTCAGGCGCCAGGCCACCACGTTTAAGAAAGTGTCCCGTTCTTTGCAAAAACATTTAATCTCCTTGCAGATGCAGGTTTGAACGTAAATCGGTCACGATTCCTTTAGACGCGCAGCTGAACGTGAACTGCGAGGAGGTCATTAGAGGTCATTAGAGGTCGTTAGAGGGGCCCCCAGCGCTCGCTATGATGAGGGGCCTCCCTGAATTATATTTTTTTATTTTAGCTTTTATTCAGGCCCAGCGTCCGTCTGAGAGACCACATCTGGACATTCAACCGAATGTGAAACAGAGATGAGAAGAAGGTTTGTACTTGACAGCCTTTGTAGAACATGAAAGGAGACACGAGTCAAGAACCAGGATCCAAACCAAGCAACTGATGCCTGCGTGAAAGTCACTGAGACAGAAGAAAAGCCGCCGTTGCTTCTTCCACGCGTGGAGGAATCCGCGGGTTCGGCCAAATAAAAAGTACTCTGTCATCTGCCAAACGCTGTCGTGACATGTGTGGCGCGGTGCTGAAAGGACAGCTCCTCCCACACTGATTACCTCGTCACATTCATTGGTTCATGTCCGTCTCCGTGCGGATCGGACGGCACCAGCTGGCCCGACGGTTCGACTCCCGGCCCTCAGAATTATCTCCATTTCTGTTTCCCTTAACTAAACTCAAAAATACTGGTTGGAAATTTAAATCTTGAAAATCGAAGATGAATTAAAATGAATAGATCATATAAAATAATAGCAGTTAATTGTTAGTATGTTGATGACACTAAGATCAATTAATAAAGAGAAAAGAGTTTGACTGTAATACAATAAAATACTTTGTTAATACTAATGTTAAAATACGCCAAACGATTATGCAACAAAATCATAAAAAGAGCATTTTGCCAGCAGCTATAAATGACTTGATGCTACTTGAGACGTTGCTCCTCAATATCTCTCCACACACATCATGTTGCATCATGTTCTCTATTGACTCCTCAACTCACACAAACAGGACACAGATTTTCTGTGTGAGCTCCACAGCACGAGATGCGTGGAAGCATTTATTTGCAAATGAGTCTTAAAAACTGCTCAAACGCATTCAAACACCAGACCCACAACAAACTAAAAGACGCTTTGGGGAATAATTTCGATAATTCCGTAAAGCCGTGTTCTGAACTCCAGCGTGGAGTTACAAGCGGGAAGGAGGTGCAGATGCCATCCTGTAGCTTCCAGCTGTGCTTAACGGGGCGCGCTGATTGGATTAGAGGCTCTTTGATTAGATTAAAGGGAAGGAAGCGGCCAAACGGCAAGTCGCAGCCATTTTTATTCATGGAGCCCAATAGAAGAAACCACAAATGGCCTCAGGGCGCCGCACACGACACCACGCGAGCCCCCCCTCGATGAGGAGAGAACCTCCTCGGACAAAAAGCCTTCCAGGTGGGGGAAGGAGAGACGAGGAACCTCCGAGAGGCCGGATGGGGCCTTTGAGGCTTTTGATGTGGGGCAACGGAGCAATAAGAGGAGTTTAACGTTCAAACGGTGTCGCACAACATCACTTATCACAAGGTGAAAATATGAGTCATTTACATCAAACAGGCTCCAGGATGCTTTTCTGGATAAACTTTAACAAAACATCTGACTTACATTTGGTGAGAATCCAAGAACTCTCTGCACTTTGTTTAAAGACAGACACACATATTTTTGTCTTCTGGAGACACATTTCTAGAAAACCGTGGTTCAAATAAACACAGAGGGATCTTTTTTCAAAGTGATCTGCTCCTGCGGCTCCACTTCAATAGTAAATGAAGAAAATTAACATAAAAATACATTAAAAGAAAAATCCAAAGACACCCTAGAAACCACTAGTATTTCATTATATACACATATACATATATATATATATACATATATATATGTGTGTGTGTGCGTAAATATATACGTATGAATTTAAATAAGACTTGATGGAGCGTCTGTAAATGAATAAGTTCCTCACACACTCAGTTTTCGGGGCGTCTTCGCTCTGGAAGCTGGAAGAAGGAAGACGTGAGAGAGAGAATCTCTTTGCTCTGCAATCGGCCACCGGGAGATAAAGTGTACGCAGCTGGATCCTCCAAGACGACCGGCGACCGGGTTTCATATGTTCTTATGTTTGATTAATGTTGTTTGGGATTTTTTTTTTAAGAGTAAGAATTTATCTTATTATTTGTATTGTTGTGTTTAGTATTTAACATGCACTTTATCAAACAAAGATATGTTTTGTTTAATTCAGATTTTATTTATGTTAAGATCTGTGTTCAATGAATATCTGCCACTATGAACTGTGTTGTCGTAACTATTTGTTATGATTACGTAAGTTTTAATGCAAGACAGAATTTTTTTTTAATTATTTTTTTAAAAGTCCGAAAATAATCCATGAATCTCCATGAAAATATGAAATCAATAAAAAATCTTCCATCTCTTTTTCCTGTTTTTTCCTCCGTGAGGCATCCTTTCATCTGCTGGGACTCGGATTCGTGGGAAAAAGAGTTTTCCTTCAGCGATCCCCACGAGAGGGAAGAAAATGCACGTAAAACATTTTCTCATTGTCATTTTAAAACTCTAAAATCATTTATATTTGATAAAAATGTGTTTTAGATATTTAATAACCTTTAAAAGAAGAAAGAAGCCAATTCGGATACACACACACACACACACACTCACTCAGGGAGCAGGGTCTTGTATTCAATGAAGAACCCAAAAATGAATAAAGCATTACTTAAAAAACATGCTCACACACACACACACACACACACACACAGACAGACTGGTAATAATAAGCAGGCCATAATAAAAGCATGACTGTGTATTTCATGTGTTTGTCCCCACGATCAGAAGGCAGCTCCTCCGGTACGGAGATCCAAGGTGAACGCGCCTCCTATTCCACATGAGCGTTATCATCTCACATGACCGTTATTATTCCACATGACCATTATCATCTCACATGACCATTATTGTCCCAGCGAAGGGATGCAAAGTGTTCACACACCCCGGCACGGCTCCCCGAGACGCTTGAGCTCCACATCTGGAGTCGCTTGCTGAGAGGTCACAGATTATCTCCTGAGCTCTTCGTCAGAGGCCTCTTTGGAAATCCAAACTTCAGTTGCACTTTTCCTGGATCGCAGCCAGCTCATATCGGATGCTGCTTTCATTATTATGTCGTTAGCGCGCCCCAAAGCGCGTCGGCAGGGTTTAGCTTCAGGGTTTAGCTTCAGGGTTTAGCTTCAGGGTTTAGCTTCAGGGTTTACCTTCAGGGGTCCGTTTGAGGGTTCGGTTTCTGAGAGACGAGTTAAATCGAGCGGCGGATGCGGATTGAAAATGAGGATGTTTCGCGCTGCTCCTCTTGATAACTGTGACGCTAATATACGATAAACATTAAACAGGTTAACACACTAGTCTGTGACATCGTCCTGAATCAGTCCATTACGGCAAATATATCACTACGAATTGTATCTATCATTATTGATTCAAATGTTCATTCATATGAATCATATAACTATAAGTTAATCATAACGTTTTTTTTATACATTACAGAACACTCACAATATAAATATTATTCATTACCGAATTGAAGTGAGATCTTACTAAAGGGGCATTTTGGGGTTTTAGATGGATTGCGGTGGCTTCTGTAATATTATTAATTATAAAAGTGTTTTTATTTATTCTTTTATTTAGCAGGGATAAAGCACACAGTCGTTCTGAGCCAGAGAGGCTTATTCCCATTTTCAAGTTTTTAAGGCAGCCTAAAAAAAAAACATTAAAAGAGAAACAAATCCAGCCTGATTCTGGCACGTTAGCAGGAATCAGGCTGTTTCAAACCTCAATGCACATTTATTTATTTCTACTGTTACATTTTCACTTTCAGTCTTTGGCAGATAATATTTTGTGTGCGGAATTTCCTTAAATACATTTTCTTATTGTGAAACATTTGCAAAAGCGATCATTAAACTTTAACATTATAAACACTTTAATGGGATATGAAACACATGCGATGAGAGAGGGAAATTTCATTTACTATTTCTACAACTTTTCATTCACCTTTATGCAGATTTTCTGTTCAACTTTTGGTTGCAGAGATTATAGATCATTAAAAAATAGGAATTAAAAGTACTATTTTGGTACAATATTGACGACTGAATTAAATATAAATAACTGTTATTGAATGTAATTTTTCGATGACACATGTTTCATATAAAGTACAGAATTAAACCGTAAAAGCTTTTTTTCAGTTGTGCAGGTTTCCGCGGGTTTTTTATCTGATAAAACTTGTTCCTCTAGACTCTCAAACCATTCAGAGTACTTTTACATTTAAACTTCCTGCGCGTCGCTGATGACCGAGGTCTCGTTGTCTTTAGACGGAGCGTCGACTCCGACTGGTTCGGGAACCCGGAAGGCGCTCGTTTTCGTAAAAGGACGCAAAGAAACGGACGCAAAAAAAACAAATTCTCCTGGACCGGGATTTGCTGCACGCGTTCACTTAAAGGGGTCACGGCTCCTCGGTCAGAATTTACGACCCGATGGACGTCGTTCCAGCATGGAAACTGTCAGAGTGCCTCCACGGAGGCGCGTGGAGCTTATCGGTGATCAGCGTGTTCCCTCGTGTGATTATTTATGCTTTAATTCCCACGGCACCGCTGGCGAAATCATCAAAGCAGCCGAGATCAAGACGAGACGGGCTCCTCCGCGTCCTCGCCATGAGAAGGAGGACATGGCGCGAGGACACGGGACGAGGACAGGAGCCTTACCTGGGGTTCAGGGTGTCCGTGGGTCCGTCCGGCTGTCAGTCCGTTGCTTTCTGTCCTTTCTGCAGAGGGCTACTCTCCCTTTTGTCCCCCCCCCCACTCTTCCAACCCCCCTCACCCACTTTTCCTTGCGTGTTTAGTTTCTCTGCCTCTTTGGTCCACGAGTCGCCGCTCTCCCTTTTTCTGTCCTCCCTCCCTTTTCCAACCTCCACCTCTAATTTGTAGGGTTCTGTCTTTGCCTCGTCTTCACTTCCCGTCTCTCGCCGTCTCCATTGTCGCTGTCTCTCTCTCAAAGAGCTTCGCTCCCTTAAGTAGCAGTACCTTGTCCTGCCGTTGATGATGAAGACTTACTGGGACTGGAGGCGGGACCAGCCCTGCGGCCGGGAGCGGGGGACGAGGGACGGGGGACGGGAAAGGTATAGGAACCAGCCCCTGGTCTGAAGTGTGTTTTCTGGGAGGTGTCGCCTGCTCAGCTCACGTCGCAGGCCGACATCCGCCTTCTAGATCCGTCCGTGGCGTTCTGTACGTTCGCTCCGGCGTTTTTCCCCGGATGGCGTTCTGGACACCAGACGAGTCTTAACTGCGAGCAGGTGTTGCATGAGAGCTGTGATCCCACTGAAGAAAAGAGCAGGTGGTGCGGTTGAATTCGCTGTTAGCTTAGCATTGACCCATTGGCACTCAACAGTGCAAGCTGAGGTCGACGGGAACGCCGACACCGAGGTATTGGACAGATTGGAATTTCAACCTTAAGATTGCACTAAATGAAAAGTTTGAGGTCTTTGTAAGTAATCCTGTAACGGGCTGATGAGGAACGTCTACCGATGAAATCGAATCAAAGGAATACGGCCGTCAGGGAGCCCGTCTGTTGAAATTTAATGAGAGGTCAAAAGGTCAATTACAGCAGGACTGCCTCGCTAATCGGGATCCACCTGAAGAAGCCAGATTACTGGTTCCTGTTAGTGTTTCAGGTTCCTCTGGGAACACAAAGGATTATTACTGCACTCACTGACCAGATTATTTACTGTCGCCCCCGAAGCATCGCAGAGCCCAGACGATCAAAACGTCTTGGAGAGTTTCTAAAAAAAAATTTAAAAAAAGATGTTTGTAATGATTTGTGGCCTCGGGGACGAGGGTAAGGAAAGCGTTACTGTCATCACTAATCACACATGTGGGCCGTATGAAAGTGAATGGAATTGAACTGTGTTGTGTGGATGTAATATCTGAGGAGGTCAAATCACCTCTGACCCGTGATGTCACGGATCGATGGCGAACAGACGCGGGCATTCGGTTCCTTTAACCATGTGACTACGTACTTCTTATTAATGTTTGTTGTACTGTTATGAGCCACTGTGCCATAAAACCGGTTTAATTTCCTCTCCCAGTTGTCCTTATCCCATTCGAAATGAAATTCCTCCCGTGGCCTCCGGTTAGCAGCCCCCCGACATAAAAACTGAGTGATTTAATCTGCCTCTCGTCTTTTAAAGCCCCCTCATCAAGGTTGAGACACACAGGAGCATAATCCAGTTTGACCTCTGACCTTTCTACCAATAGATCTTCTCTCGGATTGTAAAACAGGAGACCTCGAAGGTGACCTTTGCTCCGTAGATGAGAAGTCCACGGAAATAGTAGAGTTGACTTCTGACCTTCACAGAGACTTTTACTGTTACATTTTTACTACTAGAATCTCATAAGTAAACTGATGCTGAATATCTTTCTAAACCGATCAATCCTTTTTATCTCAACTGTGGATCCAAGGACAGTTTCTCCTTCACAGTGTTTTACCCAGCAGGTGCTGGAGAACTAGTGGCAGCAGTGTAACCACCACGTAAAGACCCCCGTGTGCCACGTAAGCCGAAGGCTCCACAGTCACACTCTGAGATTATATTTTGGGATTATATTAGGATTTGGGCACAATGTGTCGTTGGAACAACGGGATGGGGAAATATGTCTGGGGTTGATTTCGGCTTTAACCTGCGTCTTTCCGCAAGAGTCAGGGTGTAACGCCGGCTCGTATCAATTGTTGGTGCACAAAGAAAACTCTGAAGCGAAGACAGAAATACGGCTTCGCGGAGGCCGGATACGTCTTGTGAATCCATGTATCTCCAGCGGCGACGGAGCCGCGACGAGGCTCTCGTGGTCGGAGGAAAGGTTGCTGTTGCAGATGCGTCTGCCGCTTCAGCACCTCGGACAGTTCCACCGGTTCATCAACGCGCATCACAGTAGATTCTAACTCCAACAATCCCCGATCGGGTCATTGATCCATGGGAAAGTGAAATGTTTAAGGTTAGTTCACTAAGAATTCCATCCAAATTAAAATTTCAACATTATTTATCGGCGAAAAAAAAATCCTCATCTGCTTTTCCAACATTCCGTATTTTATTCAGTCCATCCGGAACTTCCAGGTGTGTTTAGAGCAATGAAGAAACAATGAGACAATGAAGCTTTACCGCCGTCTTTCAGGCCCACGGCGCCGAGGGGCCGACGCTGAGCTCGTGTTCTAGCTCACATCATGTTTGCAGAAGCACCTGATAGTCTGCCCTCCGTTGATCCACTGACGTGAGTTGCTTGTGTTTAAATCAGCATGTGAAGTGCGTGTCGGACCAGCCGACAGATTCAGATGCGCTCTGCAGTCCTGTGGCACTTTTCTCTGCACGACTACATCTTTTCCAGCAGGGGAGCACATGTGGATCACTAGTCGCGAGAGTTTCTTTTTCTTCCTTAATGCAGATGTTCAGTCGAGTTACTGTGTGCGTTTCTCACCCCGACCATCAGCATCATTTTTTTGCGGACATTCTCCAACAGAAATAGTTTATGCGTTTCTTGGAACCCCAAACAGAATATGTATTTCATCTTAAACATTTTTACAACCTTCACAGACGCTTGGCTGGATGTTAGGTGCATATTGCCATGAGCGGAAACGCTGATGAGTGAACAAAGCCGACGGAGAGCCGCAGCAGCCAAACTCTCTTTTCCGACAGCTGTGAGCGGAGCTGAAACTCTAATTGCCGTAACTTTTATTTATTTTTTCTCAAGAGTTGCTACGGTGGCTCTGAAGTGCAAATCACAACGGCAAATAGGAAAACACAACGGCATTAACCTCTCACGGAAAGGGGAGGGCCTTACAGCACACAGCAGAGGACGGACCCTTCTGATTGGACAGACGCACTCCCGCCACAACAGCAGTGCTAACGCTAGTTAATGATCCGCTAACATGCTCTGCTGGTATTTTCCTTCCGTATGTGTCCTTCCAACCTCTCCAGGTAACAACTAACTCCACCAAACCAGAAGCGCAGATTCCTCCCAGCGACCCCCTGCTGTGTTTCCGACAGGTCGCTTGGCTCGGGTGGAGGAGGAGACAGTGATTGCGTGTTCGTGGTGTAGTTGTGTGATCGATCACAGAGTGACTTGACTTTCATGATCTCACAGTGAGGGAGGAGATATTAACGACCACGTTGGCCTTCGAACCCGCCTTCAGTCACCAGTTGGCCGGGTTATGGAATTCAACGTAGACCAGGGCGGTGCTTTTAATCATTCGACATCCACCACACAAGGAATTATTTTTCTGAAGGATCAGTGCATCTGTTGTTTGGGTAATTTCGGTCATCTTGCAGCTATTAAATTGTCCTTTTCCTGGACAATCTGTTCTGGCTTTAATCGATTGTCTGCATCTGATAGTTGAATATGCTCAGGCTGAAGTACCAGAGAGGAGTAAAAAGTACAGTTATATAGTGTATCACACATTAAAAATGTGTATTTATTGATAACGAGATCATGTGAAAGTTTTCTTTTTTTAGCTTCAGGCCCAAAGTAGTGTAATTCTGTCCAGGTTAAGTGTGATTTCTGATCTGAGGTATTACTACTTTCCTTAAGTCCATCCATCGATCTTCACACCACTTATCCTGCACACGGGGTCGCAGGGTGATGGAGTCCATCCCAGCCAACTTCAGACGATACACCCTGGACTGGTCGCCAGCCAATCACAGGGCTACACAGAGACAAACGACCATTCGCACACCTTTAGAGGCAATTTAGAGTCCCCAACCAACCTGATCCCCAGAGCAGGTCTCTGGACTGTGGGAGGAAGCCGGAGAACCCGGAGAGAACCATGCAGACACGGGGAGAACATGGAGACTCATGCAGACGACAGTGCTTACCACCACGCCACCGTGCCGCTCTTACTTTTCTTAAGTAAAATATCTAACACATATTCCCCCTCTAGATTGTGCTTTAGTTATTTTCTCTAAAAATCACATTCACATCGTCTTACAATAAAACTGGATCGTAAGCTTTGAAGCCGACATGCTTGGATTCTATTTGTTTGGTTATTCCCGGGTGGCTGGTGCCCAGGTGGCTGGTGCCCAGGTGGGCGGTGCCCAGGTGGCTGGTGCCAGGGTGGGTGGTGCCAGGTTGGCTGGTGCCAGGGTAGGCGGTGCCCGGGTGGCTGGTGCCAGGGTGGGCGGTGCCCAGGTGGCTGGTGCCCGGGTGGCTGGTGCCCGGGTGGCTGGTGCCAGGGTGGCTGGTGCCAGGGTGGGCGACGCCCAGGTGGCTGGTGCCAGGGTGGGCGACGCCCAGGTGGCTGGTGCCAGGGTGGGCGACGCCCAGGTGGCTGGTGCCCGGGTGGGCGGTGCCTTTGACGTCCACTCTGCATCGGGGGAATGTCACTGGCGTGTTACGACGAGAGAAAATAGATGGTGAAGAATTCCCATCCACGGTTTCATTCCTCATTCCAAAATATATTTCATTTACAATGTATTGAAATAAAGCAGCAGTTCCTCACATGTGAGAAACCAGAACCGATTCTTTTATCTCCTGAAACACAGTGAAGCACCGGAATGATTTGTTAAGTCACTCAAAGTTTTCCAGTTGAAGGAACGAGGCACCGCAGCCTTTTCTTCAGGATTTTACAAGCCTGGAGCCTCTCGACGGGTTTTACGGTGCACGCTCCCCCAGATGAAGGTTCTCTGATCCCGGCTCCGTGACACCTCGAAGGGTCAAATATGTCATGACACCAGATGCAACATTTCGCCTGACACCGGCTGCTGAGCGCAGGCTGGATCCAGGAATTTAGACGGCTTTAGTTTGTATTAAATTCCACCGGGGGAACTGAATCCAGGTACGCAATGATGAAACAATTACGGCACGTTTCTGCCGCAAACGTTGACGTTCATCGCAAAAAGGCCTTAAAACATCTTAAAACATTTAACGCAGACACTCCCCAGATCACTCTTGTAATTACGGACTCCACGTGCTCAGATCCTCTGGTGAAACGAAAGCTCGAGAGTTGCGGTTTGCTTCCACTCGGGTCGACCAGGTCAATCGCTCAGCGGGTCTTAACGG